AAGACCATAGGAATAGAACAGGTGTTCACTCGAGGATCTATGATAGGGATCATGATCATGAGGACTCGATGACACTGAATGTCTATTACCTAAAATTTGTTCCTGGTCTTGAATCACCAAGAAAGGGTATTGGTGATCTCAATAAGACTAGTACGACATCATCTACTTGTATGGAGATACAAGGTAAGGACCTCATGGAATGCAGGCATGCTGATGCCTTAGCTGATGTCGTGGGTTGATCTGTTGGAGAACAGATAGCACTGAACTGACCCGCTTAGAGACTCCACAAGGATTCATTATAGAGAGTATCATTGGATTTGAAAAGTCTCTGAACGTTTGGTAGTGCAGATCGTCCTAGACTTTAGGATGTCATCGAATACTATGTCCTAGAGTTATACTTTGATTGTACAACTCTATCCGCCTGAAAAATGGGGAGAACAGTGTACTCTTGGGTATAACTCGAATACATGAGTATATATGGACATGCCGAAAGGACTCACAATCCCCTATAAGGGATTAGTCGTTCACAAAGACCGGTAGGGCTGAGATGACTTCTAGTTGACTCGGGAATCTATGCATAGTAAGAGATCATGAAGAGTCGTGATCTGTTTTAGAGTCAATAGAAGAAGATTCCTAGTTCCTGTGAAATATTATATTTAGTCAATAAAGAGAGATGATACTCTATCCTTGCTCTCGACTACATGTGAATGGCGATGTGAGGGATAATGCTGGCACGGTATCCAAATCAGAAAGGTAGATCACTTGATCAACTCAATTAGTTCTGGGGCTACAGAGCATTGCTAGTGTATCATGTAGTCATTAAATGGATTGGGCCTTTTAAATGTGTTTAAATGGTTCAAGTTTATTTATGTCAGTAACTAATTAGGCCTAATGGGTCACACACAAAGGTTATTCTTTATTGCAAGTTATAGCAAGTTTGGACCAATAATGAGTTATTGGGCTTTGTCAAGACTATGAGTCAAGTTGGGTTGGAGTAGGGACTCCAAACCCACTTGATCCATGCGCCCTTTTAGGGCATTAGTGGTGAAAGAGTTTCCTCCACTAATGGGCCCAAATATGATGATAGGCCAAAAAAGCTTTGGGGCATGAATCCTAGTAAGTCAAAGAGTTGACTTGACCAAAATAAGGTTTGGGCAAATTTGAAATTTGAATTTTGAAATTTGAAATTTGAATTTCGAATTCGAATTACGAACTTGGATAAGATTGAATTTATATTTAAGTTTAAATTTCAAATTGGAATTTGAAATTTGAATTTGAATTTTAAATTCTATGAGGTTAGGTTGTTGAGAATAATTTAAAATTATTTAAAGGAATAATCCAATAGAGATTGGATGAAGATTCTCTCAACTACTCTTTCATTTGAATTCAGAATTTAAATGAATACCGTTGCAACAAAATTTCTGAGGAAATGAAAGGTATTAAAGGGGCGCATAATTAAAGGGAGTGAATCAAGGAACGTCCCTCTCATCATTCAATATGTGCGTCTAATTAAAGGTGGCTGACGAGGGGCGCCTAATCAAGGGAGAGAGTCAAGGAAAGTCTCTCTCATCCTTTTAATGTGTGCGCCTAATTAAAGGGAGCTGTTGTGGGGCGCATAATGAGATGGAGAGAATCAAGGAAAGTCTCTCTCATCACTTTAACTTGTGCGCTTAATCATAGGAGGGGCTTATGTGGTTGATCAGTTTTTTTATAAAAACCTGATGCATCATCTCTCCTATGTGCGTGTAGAATTCGAAAAAGAAAAAGCTCCAACCTTTCCTTCTCTCTCTTGTTGCACCATCACCTAACCTCAAGACACCATTATAGTCTTGAGAAAAATAATCCAAACACTTGGTAGTCTCTTCCTTGCATGCGCCTAGCCAGCCACCAAGGATAAGGAGGGATCAAGGAAAAAGAGTTCTCGTTTGCAAGAAGGAGATAATCGTGTGGATCACCATTGGAGAGCGTCATCTTTTTGCGCCTACAAGTGTAAAGGTAATTCTGAAACCCTATTTCGTTTCAACGAAAAGTATTCATGCATGGAGTGTATAGATGGTTTATGCTTCCGCTGCGAAATTTTTTTGTTTTCCACCCATGTATGACTATGGTGCAGTCTTTCGAACCTTCAATTGGGTTACATGGAGAGCAAAGATACAAAGAAAAAGGGGGACACTTTGAAGCATTTGAGAATACACTTCTAAGCATGAGAAGTAAAAGAAGGGGAGATCTCAACAGAGAACAAAAAAATGTACACACCAAATTTTTTTTAAAAGAAAAATAGAGGAAAGATCACAACATATAGAGCAGGATACAAGGAGAGAAAAGACACACATAGAAAAGTTTGAAAAAGGGGAATGAGTACAGAATACACAGAAAATGGAATACCAAGGTGTTAGTCGCGTGTTAGTCCCGTAAAATCCCAAAAAATAAAAAAAATAAAAATTAGAATACATTTAAAGAATAAAGGAGAAAATTTAAAAAAAATCAAAAGAAATATATCAAGATGAAATAATTGTTTGTACTGCAGAAAATAATCATAAAATTATTAGTAGTGTTAATGGGTTACTTTTTGCTATAGTTTTTAAATACCAACATTATAACTTTCTAAGAGTTATAAAATAAAAAGTTTTGCCAAATTATGATTTGCTTTACTATTACTGCACCTAATCTTGGATATTTCTTCCTGATGTGATGGGAATGGATCCTAATATCTCATTTAAAATATAAGGTCATGTAAGTGAAGTTTAATTGTTCGTAGATAATTAACGGTTATTATTTTTCATAAACGTAAAGCGTATTATAAATAAAGCACACCAGACATTTTACTTTTTAGTTTTTACCGTTTAAAATTTCCTTGACTCATTAAAAAAATAAAAAAATAACAGCTCTAATGGAATGTCTCGATCCAAAAAATAAAAATGCTTCACTAAATGAAGAGTTATTCTATTCTTGAGATCAAATCACCCGAATTAAACTTGCTAAATTCAAGTCTCGAATTTTAATTTGAAAATTACTCTCTCTCTCTTTTGTCAACCCCGACAATAATTACAAAAAGAATGCTTCCGACAAAGCCAAAAAATAAAAAAAAATTCAGAGTACACCTTCTAATCAAATAAATAAATACAATTCGAACTTGTGTGTAGACTACATAAATCTTGTCAAGCTTGATTTCGAAAATAGTCTTGAATAATCAAATTTACGATACTATCTTCACGATTCCATGTCCAACAAAATCACGAGCAAGAACAAAAATCACCAGGGAAGGACATGTACGAATAACGAAATCTGCAGAGAGGCAGAGCAGTGCAAAGGGGAAAGAAAAGACAAAAAAGGGGGTACGAGAGTTTTACACCAAAAAAAGTGAGTCAAAGATATAGTACAAAGAAAATGCCACTCGATCAGAGATTTCAACAGCATGCCTCACACATGCTCAGAAAAAGGACGGGGAGATCTCAACAGAGAACAAGAAAATATACACACCAAATTTATTTTTATTTTTTTTAAAAAAAAAGAGAGGAAAGATCACAACATTATAGAGAAAAAAGGGTTCTTAGTTGAAAAAAAAAAAGGCCGTGGAACTGTTTTTTCGCTTCTCTTTTATGTTTGCCTATAAAAACTTGTTACTCCCTTTGCCTTCTTTATGCTTCACCCCATTACATGTTCTCTCTTCCTCCTTTACACACTCTTTAATTTTCATTCTCTACATTTCTACTAGCTTCTTTCACTTTCAGGTTAGCTTTAGAACCCCTTCTGTCATGTGTCATCCCATGCATGCATCATGCTACTATCACTTGGTTTGGTAACATTTGTGTATCTTTGGATAGTGATATCAATCAATTGTGCTTACATGTAGCGGGTAGTGATAATGTGAATATCGTCTTTATTTTCGTGCAAGAGCTAGTTTATCTCATAGGAAGGTGTAGTGTAGAGTAAAAGGCATAGCAACTTAGAAGGATCTTTGGTGCTCTAACTTATCTCCATCACAGTAAAAGTGTAATATTTCAAACTGAAATATATAAAAATAAGTATGTGTTTAGATACAACTAGTTGAAAATTTGAATTTCTTGATTGGTGTTGTGATAAAACTACATTTTTTTGCCATTAAGCAAACACAGAGAGAGGGTGGAACACAAGTAGCAACATCCATGAGTAAGCACCCTGACCCCACTCCAATCCGTTTCTTCAAGATTGTTCCTGGAACAAGTCTTCAAGAAGGAAAGCTGGTAAACGTACTTCCTTCATCTCCTTTTTCTCTCCGTGTATTTTCAATATTTATTTATTTTTTGGATTTTTATTGTTAGGTACATTTGAATTTCTGTGTTATATATGCTTGTGAGTTTCATTATGCATGCTAACAGAAAGTTCTTTGCAGAGGATCCCAAAAAAATTCATTAGGAAATATGGTGGTGACATGTCAAACCCAGTGTTTCTTAAGCCTCCAGATGGCACTAAATGGGAAGTATTTTGGACTGAAAATGACGGTGATATTTGGCTTCAAAGGGGTTGGATAGAATTTGCCACATATTACTCCCTGGATCATGGTCATTTGCTGTTGTTTGAATACAAGCAAACTTGTAATTTTGAGGTACACATATTTGACATGAGTACTCTTGAAATAGATTATCCTTTGCATGTCTCTCAAGATGCACAGGACAACCTTGACACGACTAGTGATGATGAGTCAATTAAAATTTTGGATGAGATACCACCATCCCATAAGACTAGACAAAAATCACCAATGCCTTCTCCTCAACCACGTAAAAAATCAAGAACTGGCACAAGTGGAGGTGTTGAGAGAAGATCCATTGAGCAAAATCTGCCTCATAATGTCCAAACTGAAGGCACAAACTTTGAGAAGTCTAAGTTTGCATCTGTCAAAAAAGAATCGGATGGTATGTTTCTCGTGATTGGATTATCCTTTTGATTTCATTTCATGTATTTCACGAATTACTCATACTTGACAAGAGTACCCTTGTAATAGGATATCCTTTCCGTGGCACTCAATATGGGCAACCACCATGCCAGAACACTAGACTGAAATCACCAGTGGCTTGTCCTCAATCACGTAACAAATTGAAAACTAGCACAAGATCAGGTGATCGGTCTCAAGGGACAAACTTTGGTAAATCTAAAATTGCAGCTGTCAAGGAAGAATTGGATGGTATGTATTTCATGATTGGATTATCCTTTTATTTTAATGGATTCTGTTGAGTTTTTGAGTTCAAATTTTCATAACTTCACCCTTGTTCAATTTTTTTAGAGGATGTGGATGGTACCTCCCCCAACACAAATGGAGCTCCGAAAGAAGCTGATAAATTTGCCTCAGAAAATCCCTTTTTCACAGTCAAAGTGGGGCCGGGAATTCAATCTAGACCGGTGAGGTTTAAGTTAAGAAGCAAATTAAACACATGTATCTGTATGGGAACTTTATTCCATATATGCATGCATCAAAAATGCAGTTATTGTTATACTCTCATTAAATGTTAGGCTGTGATCTAATGATGATGAAAATTTAACTTGATGCAGCTTTTATCTGTTGCCTTCGTAAGAGAGTACTTCGATAACAAGACACAGATTGTGAAGTTACGGTGTGGAAAGAAAGTGTGGCCTATCAAGTTCCTATGTTATCCACACAACTCTGCAGCCTTTTTTTCTGGAGGTTGGTTCCAATTTGTAAAAGAATGTAAATTGGTAGTTGGAGATGTTTGTGTGTTTGAGCTCATCAACAGAGAAGATGCAGTGTTTGAGGTTCACATTTTCAGACGCGACACTTAGACAATGTAATTGGAGCCGTTGGTACTGTTACCCTAAAGATGTATTACTCATCTTATTGTAGTTAAGAAATCTTAGGACTTAGGAGGCTTTTCTACCGAAGCATATGATTACATTATGAGGAACAATATTCCCGTCATGTTATTTTTGGATAAATTTTAAAGTACGTTTTCTTAGCATTTAATATTTTTTGGATACAAAATTAAAAATAAAATAAAAATTAAAACCAAAAAAAATCAAAAGTTTCGGGAAAGAAGTAGAAGGAAAGTCTGTGAGAGTGAAAATTGAATATTGGATGTGTTTTAAGATAACTTATATAAGATACTCAGCTCTTATTATAGTATTAAAAAAAAAAAGCAAAATATGGGTCACAAAATAAAAGAAAAAAAGATATTTTCTGTTGAATTAATAATGTCTAAAATATTAGTTTAAAAATTGTATTTTTTTTTTTTGGTAAACAAAACTTGCATTAAATATGTAGATGTCATATTTTTAAATCTAATTCTCTAAAAATAATTCCACAAGTCTTTGAAGAATTTATACCTTTAAACATTGTAAATCTTCAATAATTTAAGATAAATTAAAAAAATATAAAAATTAAATGTAAAATAACGTGAATTGAAAATTAAAAAAATAAATTTTAATGTATATGCATGATTGGATGCACTGTACAATTTGAATATATTCATTGAATGTTTTTAGAATTTTAAATTATTAATTAGAATGGTGACTTTATTATATTTTTTAATATATTTTTAAGTCTGAAATTAATTAGTTGTTTGGAAAGTGATGAGGGAGCACATTTTTATTTTTATTTTGATACAAGTGAGAACTAAATACACATCCTAACGTGACATATCTATTATTAGATCAATTTTAGTAGCTTAGAGAGAACATTTTCTCTGCAAGGTGAGTAGGTGTCCGTATTCCCTTATCGAAAAAGGGGAAAAAATAATCATAAAAATATGGATAGTGATGGGTTACTTTTTGCTATAGTTTTTAAATACCAACATTATAACTTTCTAAGAGTTATAAAATTAAAAATTTTGCCAAAATATGATTAGCTTTACCTCATTACTTCACTTAATCTTGGATATTTCTTCCTAACTGATTCTTGTAACTGGTTGTCATGTGACATTTCAGCCTCAAAATTGCCTCATCCAACATCAGCAATCCATGGAGATGACTGGTTCAGCTAATCTGGTGAAAGGTGATACACCAAGACAAATGAAGACATGCTGTGAAGAATGCTGACACAACAAGACATTTGAATTTTTCTGATAGCAGTAGCTTTAGTTTTCAATCTCATGTCAATGATGTTTGGCACTTACGTTTGGGCCATTGCTCCAAACCTGTAATAAAGGCCATGATGTTACAATATCCATTCATTACTTGTAAACATATAGATACCCCTTGCGATGTTTGCCACATGGCTAAACAAAGGAATCTTCCTTTCCCTTTAAGCAATACTGTTTCCAAAAGTGCTTTTGATCTTGTACACAATGATATTTGGGGGCCTTATTGTGTACCCTCTATTCATGGTCATCGTTTTATTCTAACTATTGTTGATGATTGCACAAGGTACACATGGGGCATCCTCATGAAATCTAAGTCTGAAGTGAGACATCATATTTCCTCTTTTGTTAGTCTAATGAAAATCAATTTCATAAAGGAGTTAAAGCTTTTCGTAGTGATAATGGGAAGGAATTTCTAATGACATAATTTTTTAGACAAAAGGGCATTGTTCATCAAACTTCTTGCATAGAGACACCTCAACAAAATGGAATTGTTGAGAGAAAACATCAACACTTGCTTAACACTGCTAGGGCTCTTCTTTTTCAAGGAAATCTCCCTATCAGTTTATGGTGTTACTGTATTAGTCATGCTATACACTTGATCGATCGAATTAGTACCCCAAAGCTGAACAATAAGTCCCCATATGAGCTGTTGCACAATACTCCACCAGTCATAATCCATATTAAGGCTTTTGGTTGTCTTGCTTTTGCATCCACACTACTAGCAGGACGTTTAAAGTTTGATCCCAGGTCACGCAAGTGTGTTTATATTGGTCACAAGGATGGAACCAAGGGATATATCTTGTATGATCTCTTTTCTAAACAGCTTTTTGTATCTCGAAATGTAATTTTTTATGAAGAGCACTTTCCTTTCATGGATAACACAACATCAGAAACTACTGCTCCATGGCCTACTGACCATTGTGCATCTCCCTTTTCTGAGTTTCCTCCTTTGCAGCCTTCTATTACTGAACAAGGATTAGACACATCCACGACTACAGCTTCAATTGATGATCATTTAGCAGATTCCAATAATGAGACTCAGTTAGTTTGCCCACATGCTGAGGATGCTGCAATTACAAATAATTCCAATATTAGAGATGCTGAGGGTGCTACAAATACTCATGTAGCAGATGATTCCAATCTTAGACGCTCCACACGGGTAAGATGTCTACCCAAACGTTTTTCTGATTTTCATTGCAACTATTCATCTGCTAATGTGCTACCTAGTCTCTCATCTACTAATCATCCTCTCTCCTCTGTTGTTTCCTATGCAAAATGTTCAATGGAGTACTCTTCCTTCTGTCACAACATTAGCTCATTTGTTGAGCCAACAACATATAAATAGGCAGCTCAATTCCTTGAGTGGATAACTGCCATGAATGATGAGTTAGAGGCACTAAATCGAAACCAAACTTGGGAGATAGTTGATTTACCAAGAGGGAAGCATCTGATTGGATCCAAATGGGTTTACAAAATAAAACATAACCAAGATGGAACCATTGCCACATATAAAGCACGCCTAGTTGCTAAAGGGTACATCCAAATGGAAGGAGTGGACTACTTCGAGACTTTCTCACCCGTTGCAAAGCTTACTACAATTTGGTTGCTCCTCTCCATAGCAGTAGCCAAACAGTGGCATTTAGAAAAGCTTGACATAAACAATGCCTTCTTGCACGAGGATCTAACCGAGGAAGTGTATATGTCTATTCCACAAGGTGTCACAGTAGATGGCCAACAAAAGGTTTGCAGGCTGAGAAAGTCCCTATATGGGCTTAAACAAGCCAGAAGGCAATGGAATGCTCGCCTAACAATGGAACTCTGCTCTCTTGGGTACTCACAATCTTCCTCTGATCACTCTCTTTTCACCAAAGCCAATGGTGAGTCCTTCACTACTCTTCTGATCTATGTTGACGATATGGTTCTGGGAGGTAATGACTTAGATGAGATAAAGATGGTTAAGAGTCACTTGCATCATCTGTTCCAGATCAAAGATCTTGGCCCATTAAAGTTTTTTCTTGGCCTTGAAATAGCTCGTTCCAGTAAAGGTATAGTTCTGAATCAACGCAAATATGTCCTCGAATTATTGCAAGACAGTGGACTTCTTGGCACAAAGCCAGTTTCCACTCCCATGCAACCTGGTTTTCGACTATGTCAAAATCAAGGTCCAGTTTGTTCTGAACCAGCAAGATATAGGAGGCTTGTGGGGAGACTTCTCTACCTAACTAATACACGACCCGATATTGCTTTTGCTGTTCAACAATTAAGCCAGTTTGTGGCAAATCCCATGCAAACACACGTTGATGCAGCCTATCGAGTTCTCAAATACTTGAAAGAAGCACCCGGTAAAGGATTATTCTTCTCTTCTGCAACCTGCCTTGACACTAGAAGGTCCATCACCGGTTTCTGTGTGTTTATTGGATCTTCCCTTGTGTCCTGGAAATCCAAGAAACAAACAACTGTGAGTCGTTCATCTGCTGAATCCGAATATCGAGCTCTTGCTGCTGCTACATGTGAAATCCAATGGATCATGTATTTACTTCGTGACTTACACATTTCAGTTGCACAACCTTCCATGGTTTATTGTGACAACCAGGCAGCCATCCACTTAGCACACAATCCTTCTTTCCATGAGCGCAGCAAGCATATCGAATTGGATTGTCATGTTACAAGGGAGAAGATTGCAGCTGGCTTGATTCATCTCCTCCCTGTCTCGACCACACAACAGTTAGCCGATGTCTTCACCAAAGCATTACACCCTGCTCCTTTTCATGATTTTCTGGTCAACCTGAGGCTTCATGACATTCACCTCCCAACTTGAGGGGGGGGGGGGGGGTTGAGGAGACTTAGTTAGTTTGCTATTTATGACGTGTCAATATTAATACAATATCTCATGTAATTAGTAAGGTTCAGTTAGTTACATTTCTCACGTGTCATGAAGTTAGTTAGACTCTTTGCTTTCTGTTTTACATACCAGTGTTCGTATATATACTGATATACTTCTTCTCAATAGTATTATCTAGTATCTTTCAGTATTCATTCTATACAATGTGTTTGTATCTTTCACTAGCTGGCTGGTTATAAAAAATAGGATAGGTTTTCTTTAAATATTATTATGCTACAACCTTGGCACTAGATGAGTTTTTAAAAATAATACAGCCTTCAAAAATAGTACAACCCTGGCAAAGGCTAAAATTATTTCATGGCTCCGCCATTGGGTGAGGGAAAATTGCATATTTATAAAGAGATTGTTTTTGGATTTGAACCTGTATGACCGTTCACTGCCTTGATTATGTTGTTGCAAACAAATTAGTCTTTTATAATATAATCACCCAGACAACTACAAACACACTCCTGATACAAGATTTCTATCTTTAAGGCTTGTTGTAAGAAAAATCATGAAGAAAATAATTGCAGTGGGGTGAGGATGCTTATTTAGCCAGTTATCAAGTCTACATGTTCCACATGCCAAGAACATGATAATACCTACAAATTTGCATATTTATTTGATTAAACGGCCGTTTGTCTTTGATTGATCCTAACACAAAGTATGAATCCTATTAGGAATAATTATCTATAATGAACGGTTTTGGAGAGTGTGCAAATTAAGTTACTGTGGCGTGATTTTTATTGATCCATTGCTTTGTTTAATTAAATATCAAATAAACGTGCACTAAATACTCTATTAGATGAAAGTTTATGACATTTAGAAATTATGTTAAATTTATTTTATAAAAAGTTTAAACTAAACT